TTGATGAAGACAAGTGTGGTCTTTATGCATGGTTTCCTTTAGTTCTTTGAACATATATATAATGGCTGCTTTGACATCTTTGTCTGTTGAGTATGACGTCTGGGCCCTCTCAGCTTCTATTGCCTGCTTATTTTTCTCTATCCTGTGATAGGTTATGCTTTCCTATTTCTTTGCATGCATCATAGCTGTGTTAAAAGCTGGCACAATTTAGGTAATATCCTCTTCTTCCCTTTGCAAAGTTTGTTTTCATTATTTGCTTGTTTATGTCTTTAATGACTTGGCCAGGCTATTTGAGTGAAGTCTATTTGCCCTGTGGTGTGTAGCCAGTGATGGCACTCGTCAGGGACACAGCCTTGAGCATGGGATGATAGCAGTTTTAGCAGGGCTCTCTATGACTCTCTTTTCCCCTGTTCTCTGTGTTGCTATCTGCCCTTTTGGTGTCATATTCAGCAGTTCAGCTCCACTAACTAGTCTGGTTGCTCTATTGTTTTCAACAATGGCCTGGGACATCAATTGCTCCATGATAGGATCCAATTAAATTTGGACCCCTTTGCAGGGGTAGTTTTTGAGGCCAGACTTTGAGGTTTGTTTCTACCCAGAGGGCTCTCCCCTGGTTCTCTCTGGTAAACTAACTGACCTATGGCTTACCTTAATGCTGTCATAGAGCTATCAGCCTTCTCTTAAGGGCTCATCCCCAAAATCTCCGTTGTTTTTGAGAATGCCCTTAAAATTCAACCTCACCACACAGTTTCCAATAAAGTCAGTATTTTTTAGAAGCTCTCAGTTCTTACAGAAATCTTCTCCCCCTGCCCCAAATCTCTGAACCTCTGGCACAAGTGATGGGTCCTATGAGGGAGCTGGAATTAGGCAGATGAGGCCCCCTGGTCTCAGCCTGCCACACCTGGGTTAGAGCCTTCTCTTTATGAGTAGGGACTAGGTGGAAGCCATAGTCAGCAAGAATTTAGCCTTTAAAACACAGAGTTGGGGGCGCCTGGATGCCTCAGTTGTTTATGCATCCAACTTCAGTTCAGGTCATGATCTCACGGTCTGTGGGTTCAAGCCCCGCATAGGACTCTGTGCTGACAGCTCAGAGCTTGGATCCTGGAACCTGCTTCATGTTCTGTGTCTCCCTCTCTCTCTGCCTGCCCCTCCCCTGCTCATGCTCTGTTTCTCTCTCTGTCTCGCAAAAATAAATTTTAAAAAATGTAAAAAAAAATTAAAAGAGTTGGAGGAGGTGAAAAATGGTGAGATGTCATATCCCTGGAGTGGGAAATGGAGGAGAGGAACCCTGCCTTCGTGGCCACACCTGTCTGGGGTAGAGTTTCCATCACCTGGAGGGAGAGAATGGTTCATGGCTTGGTTACCACAGACTCTCACTGTTCTTACTGAGATTTAGTAGATTTACTTGAATAAATGTTTCTTCATTTGCTTAAATGGAAGTTTAGGAAAATTTTCAGAGACTGTATATGGTTTTGTTTTTTTGTTTTTTTTTTTGTTTTGTTTTGTTTTGTTTTTTTTTGTAAATCATTTTCACCAGTTATTGTTATTTCCCTGGGAATTGTCATACTAGTCTTCAGCAGTGACTCCAACCTCATGCTTTTTGATTTATTGTGTTCATATTTTTATTATTCTTAAATAACATACAACTGTAGCTTTGATATCTTCTTTGACTCAGTAATACTTTAAAAAATCCAATTGTTTTTTCTTTCTAAAATTCTGTTTCTATGTTTCTAGTTTTATTATGTCATGATCAGAGAATATGGCCTTTGCCTGTTTGTTAGTGCTGCCATAACAAAATACCACAAACTAGGTAGCTTAAGCAACAGAATCATACGGATCAAGTAGACTAGAAATCAGAGAGGAAGGTGTCACTAAGGCGATGCTCCCTCTAATGGCTCTAGAGATGATCCTTCTTTGCCTTTTCCTAGCTTTAGAAGCATCACTGATTTCTGCTCTGATCTCGACATGGTACTTTGTCTCTATGTGTGTCTGTATTCAAGTCTCCCTCCCACTTTTTTTTTAAGATTTATTTATTTATTTGGAGATAAGAGAGAGAGAGAGAGAGAGAGAGAGAGCCAGCAGGGGAGGAACAGAAACAAAGGGAGAGAGAATCCCAAGCAGGCTCCACACAGCACAGAGGCCGATGTGGGGCTCACACCCACAAATCATGAGATCACGCCCTGAATAGTAACCAAAAGTCATATGCTCAACTGGCTGAGCCACCCAGGCACTTCTCAAATTGTGTCAGAGGATACCATTGACCTAATAAATCCATTACTGGGTTAAGGCCAACCCTAAGGATGTTATTTTAACTAATTACATCTGTAACAACCCTATTCCCAAATAAAGTCACATTCTGAGGATATCAGCATATGAATGGGGGAAGACACAACCCAACCCACAATAGCCTGTAAACATTCTGCTTTCTAAAATGGAGAATTTCTGGGGCACCTGGCTGGCTCACTCAGTGGAGTGAGCGACTCTTGGTCTCAGGGTTGTGAGTTCAAGCCTCACATTTGGTGTAGATATTACTTAAAAACAAAATCTTTAAAATAGAAATTTTATTTTTTTTTGATGTCCTTTTTTAAAACGTTTATTTATTTTTGAGAGAAATATCTCAAGCAGGGGAGGGGCAGAGAGAGAGAGAGAGAGACAGACAGACAGACACAGACACAGAATCCGAGGCAGTCTCCAGACTCTGAGCTGTCAGCACAGAGCCCAATGCAGGGCTCGAACCAACAAGTTGTGAGATCATGACCTAAGCCAAAGTCAGACATTTAATTGACTGAACCACCCAGGTGACCCTAAAATGGAGAATTTCTTTGTGATCTGATATATGACACATTCTTGTGAATATTTCTTGAACAGCCTGAAACAGTGATGATGATGATGATGATGATGATGATGATGATGATATACACTTTATTTTTCAGAGCAGTTTAAGGTTTACAGAAAAAATGGAGTAAAAAGTACAGAGAGTTCCCATATACCTCATATCCCCACGTGTGTACAGCCTCCCTCACTATCGACATCGCACAACATAGTGGTACATTTGTTACAATTGACAAACTTACACTGACACATCATTATCACCCAAAGTCCATAGTTTTCATCAGGATTCACGCTTGGTGTTGTACATTCTATGACTAATGTGTTATGACATGCCTCCACCATTGTGGTATCATATGGAATAGTGTCACTGCCCTAGGACTTCCCTGTGCTTCACCTACTTTGCCTCCCTTCCTCCAACCCCTGGCAATCTTTCACTGTCTCCATAGCTATGCCTTTTCCAGTACATCATATAGTCAGACTCATATAGTATACAGTCTTTTCAGAGTGGCTTCTTTCACTTAGTAATATGTATTTAAGTTTCTTCCACATCTTCTCATGGCTTGATAGCTCATTTCTTTTTGGTGCTGAATAATATTCCATTGTCTGGATGTGCCACAGATTATTTATCTATTCACCTACTGAAGGACATCTCAGTATCTTCCATGTTTTGGTAGCTATGCATAAAGCTGCCATAAACATCTATGTGTAGTGTTTTCTGTAGACATAAGCCTTCAACTCACTTGGTAAATACCAAGGACTGTGATTGGTGGATCATATGCTAAGGTTATGTTTACTTTTGTAAGAAATGACCAAACTGCCTCACAAAGCAATTGACCCACTTTGCATTCCTACCAGTAATGAATGAGAGTTCCTCTTTCTCCACATCCTCTCTAGCATTTGGTGCTGTCAGTGTATTGGATTTTGGCCATTCTAATAATTGTGTAGTTGTGTCTCATTGTTGTTTTAATTTGCAATCCCTAATGACATATATTGAGCATCTCTACATATACTTATCTGCCATCAGTATATCTTCTTGATGTGGTGTGTGTACAGACACTGCCTGTGCAATTTTTTCATTGGGTGGTTTACTTTCTTAGTGTTGATTCTTTTTTTGAGATCTTTGTATATATATTTTTTAATGTTTATTTATTTTTGAGAGAGAGAGACAGAGAGAGAGGGAGACACAGAATCTGAGGCAGGCTTCAGGTTCTGAGCTGTCAGGACAGAGCCTGATGTGAGCTCAAAACTCATAACCATGAGATCATGACCTGAGCCAAAGTTGGACACTCAACCAACTGAACCACACAGGCGCCTCGAGATCTTTGTATATTTTGGATAGCAGTCCTTTATCAGATGTGTCTTTTGCAAATATTTTCTTTCCCAAACAGTTATTTTCTTTTTAACAAGAATTGTGGAATGGAATTAGTTTCTTAACTATATGTAGAGGATGAGAGTGTCTCACTTCAAACCAACTGAACCAGAATCTTCACAGGTGCACCTGGGCACATGCAGTTTTACAAGCTCAGAGGCAGGGGAGCCATGGAAATGAAGGGGTGACTGGGTGGAGGAGACCAGGAATAGGCAGTTGATAAGGTGGGGAGGGAAGTATCAAGACTGACTCCCAGTTCTTGGCTTGAACAACTGGTTGCAAAGAGAGGTTGTTTACTGAAATGGAGAACCTGGAGAAGGAACACGTCTGGGGAAAGATTAAGAGTTCAGTGTCAAATATGTTGAATATGAGAGGCTGCAAGGCATCCAAGTGGAGATACTGAGCAGTCAGAGGAATCATAAATGGATCCAGATCGCAGGCAGATTTAGAGGATGATGTGTCTGAAGATGGCATTTGAAGAGGCGAGCCAGGGTGAAGAGGAGACAGTGTGCGTTGAAGAAAGGAGAAGATGGCCTTATTTTAACTTACCTCTTTAAAGACCCTGTCTCCAACACAGTCAGATCTGAGGTACTAGAGGTTGACATAATGAATTTTTAGGGCATGCAATTCTGCCCACAGCAGAGAGGGAATAAGCCCCGGGCATGGAGGGTACTAAGTACTTGGGGTGCACAGCCCAGAGGCCTGGCCTAAAGAGGCACGTGTGAGGGGTGGCAGAGCTTGTACCTTACCCTCAGCACCTGCTGGCTGCCCTGACTCCCTCACTGACTCCAACCTGCAGGCTCGCTGGTTGGCCAGAGACTCTCAGACCATCCCGATGTGCGGAAAATTGGGTTCACAGGTTCCACAGAGGTGGGAAAACACATCATGAAAAGGTAGGTGTTGGGGGTACCCCTAGTCACAGTGTGAAGATGTGGACAGTGCTGTGTGTGAGCTTGAGGCAGGTCCGGGCCGAGTGTCTGAGTTTCTGACCAGCCCCTGTGGAGGCCAGTGCAGCTGCTCCACGGAGCACACTCAGACCTGGGGCTGCTGGAGGCTCCATGCGATTTGGGGCCCTGAGCATGCATGGCCACTTGGGACAGAGCTGCTCTGAATTGAGATGGGCTTCAAGTGTCAAAGGCCCCCTGGATTTTGAAAACTTAGTGCCCAAAGTAGCTCATTAATAACTTTATATTGATGGCAGTTTGAAATAATTTATGAATTGGGTTAAATAAAATACATTTAAATTAATTTCATTGGTTTCTTCTTAGTGTTTCTTTTAAAACTAAAAGGAATTTACTTTTGTTTTTTAGTGGTTAGTAAAAAAAAAAATTCTCTTACATTTGTGGCTGGTCTTTGAGGCTTTTGTTCTATTCTGTTGGACAGCCCTGTTCTAGAACATCCTTTTGTCTCTTTTTCCCGGGACTTGCCTCAAACCACCTGGGTTTCTATGCCCTGGATCTGTTAATAATTCATGATAGGACCAGGGCCAAGCCCTGACCCTCCGGGCCTCAATTTCCCCACCAGTTGAGTTTGCATGCTCCGAGGTGCTGGTTTGTGCAAACAACAAGCTTGGGGCTACAGACAGGGCTGGACTGCAGCACAGTACCTCATAGCCCTGGCTGTCCCAAGACAAACACTGGATGCCCCAGCACGACCCCACTGAAGCTGAATTCTGGGGATGGGTTTCAGGCATGTGTACTTGAGTAATAGTTACAAATAGAGAGGAGCTGGAATTTCTGTTGGACATAGTGATGCCTTTCTCTGAGGTCACATGACCACCCACCACTGCCTGTGCTATAAGACTCGTGTGTGAGACCTTCCAGAGCAGTCCAACTACGACATGACAATTACACGGGAGAAAGGCTTCTCTTGTGTTAAAACACCACCTTATTGTAGCCCCCAGTGCAGAGCAGTGTTCTTTTTCCCTGGGACACTTCTGTAGCCCATGACCCTGCTCTCCAGGGGCCTCTCTGTGCCCCCACAAGATGGGGTTCTCACCCCTTGGCCCCACACATGCTCTCTGTGGGACAGGGTGCATCCTGGGCCCTGGTGCCTTCCTTAAGTGGGCACCATGTTTATGAGGATCACAGCAGCTTTACATGGCATCCTTTTCTGGGCCAGGAGCCACAGCCAATGTGGCTAGTAGAGTGTATCTTTAGGGTCAGTGGAGGCTGACATCACAGCCTGTGAATGGGTCCAGGAAGAGCAACTCTGAAGTGTTTTGAGTGCAGCAGAGCAAGCCTCAGCATTGAAGAGAGGGAGGCTGGTGGTGGTGCAGGACTGATAGTTGGGGTGCAGATGGATGGATGCGGGAGTGGGGGCAGGGGCTAACTGCAAGTAGTCACAGCAGTTGATTTACAAGTAAATCAGCTGGTCTTCCCAATGCTGTGTAGACAATAGTCCTATGTAAGCACATATGTGCTAGGGTGAGTGAGGGCTCAGTAAATGTCAGCTCTGAGGACTTCAGGGCAGGAGGGCTTGGGTGGGTGTCCTGTGGCTTGGGGACTGCCATCATCTGAGGACATTCCAAGAATACCCTGAGGCTGGCACCTGAGATGAGAGCCTTCTTCCCGGGTAAGTCCTGAGTGAGGAGACCCCCCCACCACTCCCACCCTGTGCCATGCTTGTGTTTCACTGGCCCACTCCTGTGAGTGTCCCTTTGAGGACAGTATCAGTAAGTCCACTTTGTGCCCACTGATATAGCATGCGAAGGACCCCCAACTTCTCTCTGTTTACACCTGTCACTAAACATCCAAAGGGACCAAAGGCCCTATGGCACTGTAACCACCCCAATGGGGGATTGGTTCTGTGTTTGGTTTATTCATTGGATAAACACAGCTGCATGACAAGACACATGCCTGTCCACCCTGGTGGGGCTTATTCTCTGACGGGCAGGGTCAGACACAAATACTCCACACAGCAAAGCACATCAGGCACAGAGCTCAGGAGCATCCAATTTATAGGGAGCAACCAGGGCAGGCACCCCAGCAAGGGGACATTGGAGCAGAGGCCAGAAGGAAGTGATGAACCAAGTTCAAGGATATGTGAAGCAGGAAGGGTCCTGAGGGGGCTGTGAGAGCAAAGACCCCACTGTGGGCATAGCCTGGGTGTGGAGGAGGAGGAAGGCAGTGGTGTGGAGAGAGGAGTGAGGCAGGGAGAGCAGATGAGTGTGGGAGTGGGGAGAAGCCCCCTCTGACCCTCTTCTTGCTCTTTGAGTACAGCATGCTTTGGAGCTTCCCTCGGCTCCTCCACCTGGAGCCCCTGTGTCCCCATCTCCCAGGGACTCAGCCCTACCAACCTATGTCCCTTTCAGCTGCGCCCTGAGTAACGTGAAGAAGGTCTCCCTGGAGCTGGGCGGGAAGTCGCCCCTCATCATCTTTGCTGACTGTGACCTCAGCAAGGCTGTGCAGATGGTGAGGGCCGGCCTGAGGGGGGTGGGGGTGGACATGGGGTGCCCATCGCTGATTCCACAAACTCACAAAATTGGCCTAGACTGGCAGGAAGGGGCCTAGGGGACAAAGAATTCCATATGCCTTCCAGAAAAACAAACTTCCCGAGAAGTTTCATAACTGTCAGGATTTGAAATCAGCTTCACCAAATGGGAAATGTTAGCCATGTTCCCATCTGTTCTGGTCAGCATGAAAACCTTTCCTTTTTGCTATGTCTGTTTGCCCAGTTCCACCACTGACTCATTGGGCAGCCTCAGGCAAGTTACTTAACTTTTCTGGCCCTTGCATTCTCACCTGTATCATGGGGAGAATACACCTATGGTTGTTACAGCGATTCAACATGCTAGTAAGTCTGAAGGGCTTAGAAGATGTAGCAGGTGCTGTGTGTCAGTTGTCCTTATGTTCGTATTGTCACTCATTGTTATGCCTCAGTCCCCCTCTCCACACTTTGGGAGCAAGCCAGTAAGGCCATGTTCAACCATGTGCCCAAATATGCCCCCTTCTGTCTAAGTCTCAAGGTGTCTTGAAGCACAATGTGACACCCAGCATGGACAGGAAAGAGAGTACAGCCTCAGGGAAGCTGAGGGAGACAAGTACATCAGCCCAAGGGTCTTGACCCTGGTGCCAAGGCCACTGCTGCAGGGCCAGCAGCCCAGGCCATGTCATTGGGCAGTGCAATCCCAGCTGCCATGAGAGCTGAGCTTGACCCAGAGCAGTCAGGCTCACCCTCCTCCCCTGGCCCCCCACATAGGACTCCCCAGGTCCAAAATACAGGCTCCCTTGAGCCACTGAGGACAGTCATTCTGGACCCCTGCCAGGAGTTCTCTCAGGCCTGAGCTGGCACCTTGTCCCTCAAAGACATGGGGCTGCTGCCTGCTCCAAGCTAACAGACCCTCCAGGCCCAGCCCCAAGAGGGTGAGTTCTGACCCCTCCTGTATCACCCCAGGGAGCATGCCTGTATACAGGGTCTCCAGGCTCACTCCCCGACTCCCACTTGTGCTCCACTCTCTGCAGTGTGGACACAGGTGTCCCCAGGGGATGGGACTCATCTCTCCTCTTGAGGTGACTGAGGAATGAGT